ATGGCTCAGTGCATAATTTTCTTTCCAAGCGTGGAAGGACTTCTCCATATGCAAATCGGTGGCCGCGTACATGATGCTCTTTCTTTATTATTTGTTCCGTCAAATAATCGATCATGCACAATAATCATGGGATTATGCCGATTGCCTCAAATTTTGATCAACAGAATCAACTTGTTGCCTGATCTTATAACTTTCGGCCATCACATGGGCTTTGGCAAAATTTTCACTTCATGGGCTCATTTCGATTAATTTAAATAAGCTTGCCACCGCCGGTCCAATTTAAATGTAATTCATGAACTTACTTGATAACAAATATTCTCCTGTTAACTATATGCTATTTAACTATTTTTTTGTCTAGGGGCCAAGATCGATCCCTAATTTTTTATAAAATGAACGATTAACCGGATCGCCAAAATTTAGGTATCAACACATGACCACCATCATCTTGCCCCGTGTCATCTTGCCTTGTGGAGAGCAATGGACTGGATCGCCACGTTAGCGATTTCCGGCAAAAATTGACTAGAATGACTAATTTTGCGCAAAGGTTTAGGACTACATTGAAAAATTTAGAACCGAATTGACATCCGAATAATAGGTTTAGAATTTATTGAGTAATTTTTCTAATAATGAAACGATGGGAAATTTGGCCATTAAGCACAAGTGCTCTTTTATTTTTTGTACTCAGCAGAAATTTTTGAGGTTGGGTTACAAGCAAGTAAAAAATTCAAATTTCTTAACCTCAAAACCAACGATTTGTCTTTAATCAAACCAAGGAATGAAAGTCAATTCAAGCTCTGTTTGTTTCGCAAAAAATAAATAATTTGAAAAATATTTTCTTAATAATCATTTATATCACTTGAAATTATTAGTTAATGAAAAATGTTTTCATTATCGATAATAGTTTATGTTTAAATATTTTCCTAAACGATAAAATATTTTTTGCCCATTTATTTTTGTAATATAAGCAATCATTTTTAAGAAAATATTTTTTAAATTATTTATTTTTTGCGAAACAAACATATACTTAGCGCAACAAAAGTTGAGCAAAGATGCCAATTGATCATCATACCAAAAATATTGAAATTTTTAGTATTTTGCCTTTGTGTACATTGGCATGGCTAAGATTCATCAGAGTGGGGTTTATATACAAGTTAGGATCACAATTACTTAGCCAATCCAAAAGCGTGCATGAACTTTGGGATATGTTTACTAGAAGTCCTAAAACTTGTCACGAAAATGTAATTGAATCCTAAAACTTGCAAAAAGTGCAATCAAGTCCTAAAACTTATCAAATTGATTCAATCGAGTCCTAAAGTTAACACTATCCAATTTAGCTAACGAAAAATGCTGACTTGACTCTTTTATTATTTTTTTCTATCTTACATGTAGATGACGTGACTTTTTATTATTATTTTAATATTAATTTTACTAAATTAAATTTAAAAATAAGTTAATAAATAAAGGGAGGAGGACAGGTGGGGAGGGAGGCCTTGCCCTCCCCGCCGCCACCCCACCATCGCCAAGAGGGGCCGGCGAGGGTGGGGGACGGCAGGCGGGTGTCGCCGGGCCTCAGCCAAGGGTCATCGACCCTTGCCCAGATTGCTCGCCAGTGGCAGCCCTCGGCCAAGTATGGGTGAGGGCTGGCAACCCTCGCTTGATCTGGGGGAGGGTCACGACCCTTCGCCCAGATCTGCGCAAGGATTCACAAGCCCACGCCTGCCATCGGCAAGGCTCATCGACCCTTGGCCGGGCCTCGGCGATCCTCGCTTGTCGTCCCCCAACCCTCGCCGGCTCCTCCCGGCAATGGAGGGGCGGCGACGGCGGCAGCGAGGAGGGTAAGGCCTCCCTCCCCACCTATCCTCCTCCTCCCTTTTATTTTTATTTTTATTTTACCTTATTTTTAAATTTAATTTAAATAAAATTAGTATTAAAAATCAAATTTGGGCCAAAACGACGTTATTTCAGTCTTATGTTTCATACTTTAGTCATGTCAACGCCACGTCAACATTTTCCGTTAGTAAGTTTGACGGTGTTAACTTTAGGACTCATTTGAACCAATTTGATAAATTTTATGACTTGATTACACTTTTTGCAAGTTTTAGGACTCAATTGTATTTTCGTGACAAGTTTTAGGACTTTCCCATGAACTTTATAAGATTCTTCTTCTTCCATGTAGGTTGGATTTTGACCTAAGCCTAAAACGTGGAAGTTTATAAGTGGAGAGGCAAATAGGGTGCTTGGAAGATTTGAACTCAAGACCTTATGCTTTGAGTGCCCTATGAGATTTTGTTAAACTACTGCTAACTATTCTAAAAGCTTGGGTTATTAGATAAATGCGAGATTTAATATTTAAATATTCTAACAAACTTATAATCGTAAGATCAATAAATATCTCGTCATTTCAAGCAAATTTTAAAAAAAAATGCTCGACCACTCAAGTGACAAAATACCCACCTTTAAATTCTTGGCCCAATTTCATAAAAAATCCCAAACTTTAACCTTTGTCCCAATTATATCCTAAACTTTTTTATCTCATAAAAAACCCCAAACTTTACTTTTGTCCCAAATCTACCCCGTTTACTATTCATCCAATTTTTTAATATTATTTTTCAATTTTTTCTTTTCTTTTCTTTTTTTCACCCTCAACCTCCGGCAGGTCGCCGATCCGGCGACTGACGAGGAGGGCAGCGAGTCGGCCTGGAGCAGCGAGGCTGAGGCCTCGCGCCGGCTTCAGGCCGAGGACCTCGCCGGCCAGCCATCGTTAGCAGTAGAGCCTCGCCAGATCGGCGAGGCTCCGCCCGTTGCCCGGCGAGGTCGGCTTAGCAGGAGCCGGCCAGCCGGCCGGCGACGAGACTCGGCTCGCCCGGCCAGCAGCGGCCGAGCCTCGCCCGGATCTGCGAGGCTCGCGCCGCCGCGGCGTCGGCTCCTCGCCCCGCGCGGAGGCGAGCCTCGCCCGAGGCGAGCGCGGCCCTCGGGCCAGTGAGGCTCGGCCTCGGCCGTTTGTCAAAAAAATGCTCGACCACTCAAGTGACAAAATACCCACCTTTAAATTCTTTCGTTCATGCCGGCCGGGAGGTTGAGGGTGAAAAAAGAAAAGAAAAGAAAAGAAAAAAAATTCGAAAAATAATATTAAAAATTGGATGAATAGTAAACTAGATTGGGACAAAAGTAAAAGTTTGGGGTTTTTATGAGACAAAAAAAGTTTGGGATATAATTGGGACAAAAGCTAAAGTTTGGGGTTTTTTATGGAATTGGGCCTTAAATTCTTTCGTACATGCAAGCCAATAAATTCGCTGGAACTCATCATTTTGGAACGCTAATTTTGTAGTTGGGGCAAATAGAACTCGATTCAAAAACCACAACTCCTTCAATTTCAATTTGGGGTTGTTCAATTTTTACTCTCTTTTCTCGCTAAAACAACTGAGCCCTTGATTAAAAAGACTACAAAAAGAAGCCATTCTTGTTCTAGAGAAATGGCATCGTTTCTCTTTGTTGATGTGTTTATGTACGGGTCCGCGCTGTTAATCACCTTATGACTTGCATGGACGAAAAACTTAAAGGAGTGTGTATTTTTATCCTTCCAACAAAAGTTTGGAGTTGGCCAAATTATTTGTTGGTGCAAGAATTTCTTCTTTAGTCAAAAGAAATAGTAAGTGTCTTGCTGTGTTAAAGCCAGACATCCCAAAAAACTACTGTATAATTACCAAAAAAGTATAAACTTATTATAAAGATACCAATTCAGCCAATAGTCTTTTAATTTGGCAAAATTATTTCTAAATATTTTGATGATTTGTCAATGTAGTCCTTTCGGTCAATTTTAACCGACAATCGCTAATATGGACGTCGGCCGTCCGATGTTACATGACTGACTCTAACATTGACAAATTTTGTATTTTTTTAAAAATAATTTCTGATTTTTTTTTATAATATTTCAATTTTATTTATTTTTTTTTCTTTCATTGGTATGTGGCGGAAGAAGGAAACGAAAAAAAAGAAAAAAATTCCAAAAATTCACAAAATTTAAAAAAATTTGAAAAAAAAAATGAAAAAATTGTTTCGTCAACGCTGATTGTGCCATGGAGGACAGTTGACATCCACGTCAACATCAGCAATTTCCGGGCAAAAATTGTCGAAAGGATTGCATTGACAAATTGCCAAAAAGTTTAGGACTAAACTGGCGAAATTGAAAAGTTTATGACTGAATTAGCATTCGCATAACAAGTTTAGAATTTTTTTGGTAATTCATATAAAAAAAAACTACTAAACGAAACAATGGCAACAGACCCTCTTTTCTCTCGTATGACGTGGACATGCCACATGTCGCTCTACTCTTTGGGACCCAATAGTCGTCCTCAGTGGCATTTCGTCCCATTCGAGCTATAGCTAGAGAAGTCAAACGGATTAGTTCCCTTTCGCTTGTCCCGGGGGCGGTTCACATTAATTGCGAGTGACGTGGAGATTGAATGACTCAGAACGTGGCCACGCATTCCAATTCTCTCATTCGGCGCGATTAATTTTGTTCGGAGCAAATTGACGTCCCAATTTGGCGAGATGAATTTGCAAGTCAGCGCAAAAGTTTATACACATACAAAATAAGCTTATACTAGAAATTTTGTAGGTGAGGCCAAACGTAATATACTTAATTCAGTATGGTCGGGAGAATGAAGTTGATCATGTTGAGTGATCAATAAATTTTGCAGGTGAGGCCAAACGTAATATACTTAATTCAGTATGGTCGGGAGAATGAAGTTGATCATATTGAGTGATCAATAATTAGTACATATTTAAGACGTGGCTATAAAAAGTTCGTGTATGGAATAATCTAATTTGGCAATATAACCATTACGTCACTCATTAATTATTCGTTGAAAAATAATTAAGTGATTGATTTTAAATAATAAATAGTTACTCGATCGCGCAGACGTGTTTGAGTTCGGTACAGTACTTAGAGGTTGTCTAGTTGAACCTTCTCTCTCTCTCTCCTCTCTATATAAACCCCCATTGCCCATGATCATTCATCACCATCTCCATCATAAAAAACTCTCCATACGCTTTCCCATAACACCGATCAAACGATGAAGGTGATAGTAGAACACACGGAGACCATCAAGCCGTCTTCTCCGACGCCTCCCGACCTCCGCCGCCACGACCTCTCCTTCCTTGACCAGATCGCGCCCCCCATCTTCATGCCCCTACTCCTCTTTTTCCCCAAGGACGACCTCCTCACCAACCAGGAGAAACTCTCCAAGATCAAGCGATCCCTGTCCGAAACCCTAACTCGGTTCTACCCGCTCGCCGGGCGCTTGAGAGACAACCTCTACGTCGAGTGCAACGACGACGGCGTCCACTTTGCGGTGGCTCGAGCCACATGCCGGCTCTCAGAGGTCCTCAAAAGTCCTGACCCTGAGAAGGTCGACCAGCTCTTGCCCTTCAAGCTCTACGACTTGAGGGATCTCGCCACCGCCGTGCAAGTTAGCTTCTTCGAGTGCGGAGGGTTGTGCATCGCGCTATGCATCTCCCACAAGCTCGCTGACGCGTTGTCGTTCTTCTCTTTCCTCAATAGTTGGGCCACGGTCACTCGCGGCGACGGTGGCCATATGATATCTCCCGTTTTCAAGCCATCCTCTCTTTTCCCGCCGATAAATCTAGCCGGGTTTGCACCGAGCTCGGGGCTTTTGAAGGAAGGCCTTGTCACGAAGCGGTTCGTCTTCGACGCCAAGTCAATAGCCGCCCTTCGAGATAAGTACAGCAATGATGAGACGGCGGAGGCCGAAGGCCAGAGGAGGCGGCCAACGAGAGTCGAGGCCTTGTCGGCCTTCTTGTGGAGGCGATACATGGAGAGCACGCAAAAGAAAGGGGACTGCGTCAGCGAGAATGACAAGATATACACGGTGCTACATGCAGTGAACTTGCGTCCGAGGATGGATCCGCCATTGTCGGACCGCCATTTCGGGAACATAAGCAGAATTGCCCTAACGATGCCAACCAGGGATACTGATGAACATATGATTGTGAACCAGGTATAGCCAGAAAAAATCATTCTAGACATAGCCAAACTGGAGGACATAAGCTTAAGATTAGTGTCCATCCATTTTTTCCAATAGAATTAGTATGTGAGCGCATAACTAATTCCTTTAAAAACTTAAGCTATCAGGAACATTCCAAGCATTATATATTAATCATGATCCTTTGTGGGATTAAGATGTTTTTGGATTATAAGTGAATAATAATGCATTAGTGCTAGAAACAAAGATTGCTTTATAAAATTATTTGCGAAGTGGCGTAACAAACTCCCTTTGCGTGTCATGGACAGTGTAGCCTGTTGATTGCTTTTGAGTCTTCCTAAGTTATATTTGTTTTTTGTCCTTTAACAAGGTGAGAGAAGCAATACAGGAAGTGAACATGGACTACGTGAAGAAGCTAAGAGAAGGAGAAGGGCACTTGAACTTCATGAAGGAACGCTCGGCCCGGATCTCGAAAGGCGAGGTCGTGCCCTTCAGCTTCACGAGCCTGTGCCGGTTCCCGACCTACGAGGCCGACTTCGGATGGGGCAAGCCCGTGTGGGTCGGGTCCTCCCCGCTCCCATACCGGAACCTCGTCGTCTTCTTGGACACCCGAGATGGAGGCGGCATAGAAGCATATGCTAACCTCAAGCCAGAGGACATGGCCTTGTTCGAGAAGGACAAGGAGCTTCTTTCGCTCGTGTCGTCATCAGCATCTCCGAACGCGAAATACGCGTAGCTCGCGATGTTCACAGCGTGCGTGTTCATCGGTGTGCTTTGTTTATGCAACTGTTTATGTCCTTATTCCTATGTTTACCTATGTTTGGTTCTTTTGTGTACTGTAGTGTATACATTTAGTGTGCGTCTACTATAACAGCTCAAAGCCTCAACGAGTGATGAATAAGTATGAGATTAACGTACAGTGATATAATTTAAGAATACCCTCTTTTCTATAGTCCGACTAATTCGGATCGGGTCATTACATGCGCAAAATCATCTTTTTAGCCGGATTCGACCGAATAGTAGAGGGTCAAATTGCAGGTCCCTCGCCATCTATAATATAAACTACATGGCATTTCTGCATCAGCTGTAGTGTATACATTTCGTGCGCGTCTACTATAACAGCTCAAAGCCTCAACGAGTGATGAATAAGTATGAGATTAACATACAGTGATATAATTTAAGAAAACCGTCTTTTCTATAGTTCGACTAATTCGGATTGGGTTGTTACCTGCGCAAAATCATCTTTCTAGCCGGATTCGACCGAACAGTAGAGGGTCAACTTGCAGGTCCCTCGCTATCTATATTATAAACTACATAGCATTTCTGCATCAGCTGTTCTGCATGTGTATAAAGATAGGCCAGGCACAATCCCGTGTCGAATCTTCTGATTTATCTCTTGTGACGTTTATCAAATTGAATAGTATGATCGATCTTCATTCAAACCAGAGAAGTAAGGATGTCAACGATTCGGTTTAGTTCGGATTTTTAGAAAAATCGAACCGAACCGAAAATCCGACTGGGATCGGTTCGGTTCGGTTCGGTTTTTCGATTTTCCTCTCTCTCTTGTTTGCGCCGCTCAAACTCTTCTCTTTCTCAACCCGACTCAAAGAAGAACAAGTTTTTCGCGATTTCCCAACACCTTTTCTTTTAATTATAAAAACCTGAAAATTAAAATTTTCATTTTTATTGTTTTTTATTTCTGTTTAGCCATGGAAATCGATGAATCAGCAACGAAGAAGAAGCACGATCTGTCGTCATCACTCGCCCAGACCATAATCCAATCTCACAAACCTCAACACCCCTTTCCTCTCCGTCCCCATTCTCCATCCTCCATCCTCCAACCTCCCCTCTTCCCGCCTCGCACCTTCCGCTCTCCCCTCCAGATCCGCCACCCCCTCAGCCCCTGCCGCTGTTTCCCCAGCGATATCTGACCCCATGCGCCACCATAGCAGCTGTCAGGACCATGGTCGTCTCCGGGAGGCCGATGAAGCGCATGACGAGGCAGAGTCACGTCCGACCTCTTCGACTTCCTTACCTTCCCCTCCTAGTCCATCGGCGGGCTAGGGAGCCCCGTCAGGGTGAGGGTGTAGGAGTTTCTGTCTAGGCACGCGATGCCGCCGCCGCCGCCGCCGCCATTGATGTTCCCCAAACGACGTGCAGTTGCTATTCCGGGTGGGGGAAGTGGTGACGGGGGGCCCTGACTCATCGCTGGCGGTGGTGTGCCTGGACGTGGGAGGAGGATGAGAACGTCGAGGATGGGTTTTTAACTTTTTTTTGGTTCAGTTCGGTTTATTAATCGAATGGTTATTTATCATTATTTGAACTGAACCGAAAATGCACAAAATTTCGGTTTCGATTTCGATTCGGTTTCTGACACCCTAGGCTAGTAAGTCTACGCGCCAAATCTAGACCAGGTTGACAAAAACCTTCGGGGACAAAATCTTTCTTCTCGACATAATTGAAGTATTGATGGAGTTGGTTGAACATTCCAATCCCATCAGCTGCTTGCTCGGCTTGTGCGTCTCTGTTTGCAGTACTGTTTCATAAACAACGATTATGTGTGCGCCTCCGATTGAGATTATTCAGAGGTATCGGTGCAATTTGCTTGGTAGACTGTGGTTATCGCGACCTGCTAAATTTGCCTAGTGCATCTACATTGAGGAATCGTAAAAGAGATCGTCAAACTCAAGCTCGAACTCGATCGTATTCCTTATACGGCTCTTAAATAGTCTCGATACCCAAACCCAACTCGAGTAAGGGAACTAATACCCGAAACCCCTTTGAAATCGCGGTTTACCAAAATAACATGCATTCCCAATATCAACATGGAGTACCAATGATCCAAATGATCAACATAAAGTGTAACAAGGAAAGTAACACATTCCTTGTTAGGTTTTCTATACTAACAAGTAACAATGATCCAAAAGGTCAACATGAAGTTCGTAACCTCATTTTTCCTGTGTTTTTTTACATACCGTGTGTTTGTAATGTTTTCAAAAATACTTTCATAAAAATAATCGTTTGTATCGCTTATAAGCTAAACGAACGAAATAAATTTCATTATCCACATAAATGTCAACAATGAAATGTTTTTCATTGAGTAATAATTTCAAGTAATACATGCGGTTATTTTTATAAAATTATGTTTTAAATTATTTATTTTTTATGAAATAAACGGAGCTAAAATGTAGGTGGATGATTTGTCAAATCAGATTCTCAATATTGAACCATCGATTTCCACGCCTCCACCGCACTCCGGACGAATTAGAAACGCTTCCAAAGTAGGTAGGAGTTAGGTGATGACTTATGGGATGTGATAATCGGATCGGTTGCGTTCGTTCACGAATGAAGGGTTTACCTTGCTAGGGTTTTTCTTTTGTTGCTTTGTTGTTTATTTATAGAGATAAGATGCCTAGCCGAGAGAATTTCTGTGAAAATATTATATGCATAATTTGGCCAAAAACCAAAAAGGGAGTAATCCCATTACAACCCCGCAAAGTGTGCTATTGACATGTTAATTTCTTTAATCAAAGAATGATAAGCGCAAACTTCGGTCCGTTTGTTTAGCGAAAAATAAATGATTTGGAAAATATTTTCCTAAAATCGATTGCTTATATTACTAATAAAAATGAATAAATGATGTATATTTTCATAGTTCTCGGAAATATTTAGACATAAATTATTATCGATAATGACAATATTTCTCATTAATTTTTTCAAATGATATAAACGATTATTTTTAGAAAAATATTTTTTAAATAATTCATTTTCCGCGAAATAAATTACGGGATTAGTGACATTTACCGATTAAATTGAAATTATTTACAGAAGTTTATGTTTGATTTAAGTATGCGAAAGATCCCTTTCTTTAGGGTTTTCCTTCCAAACAGAAAAAGTTGTCGAGGTTTAGTTACTAATACCTCCAAAAAGTGGGAGGTGAGAGCCTAGGCTAGCATTGCTTCTCAAAGATTCAACAAATTTTGGCTTCAATCTACCTAACTCAATTAGCTGCCATGAAGCCAAAAATAACGAATATATAAGCTAGTAGGCACATTAGATATCTCTACTCTGGAAGCACGGACGCTCTAAATCCGATCTGGCTGATAAAGATATGAGTCGAAAACATATTGCATAGCCCAACGCTAGAAAAAGTTCCCTTCCAATTAGACCTTATATCCCCCTCAAGCCTTTTGGGCTCTGTTATGTTTTGAAGCTATGATTATGTATGTTAACCCTTTTTCTTAATCAACGAAATCTATATTTCCGACCCCCGCCCAAAAAAAAGAGAGAAATAATCTATTGCAAAGCCAAAAATATGGGGGTGAACATGCTTATTTAATTAAACTTTTTGTGCACAACCTGCTGATGAATTGTCGATTTGAAGGTCATTGTCCTGAGTACGTCCAAGAGTCATCCCCAATCTGGATGAACATCTCAGGAATAGTCCTGACCCGTGATGTGATCACATGTATAGTGCCCCACTCTCCAACTGATCCATCATGCAAGCAGTAATTGCCCTTCCTGTTCATCAATTTTTTTCTTTTCGTATCAATTTAATTATACATTATAAGATATGCTTTGACATAGAAGTAGCACATTGAATGTTAGAAGAGAGAGCCTCTAGCTATATTTGACTGGATATTTTCTTGGGTAGATCCCGACGAATAATCGTCCCAAATCGAGTGAATTGCAATTTAGATGATCGATTACTTCACAATTCACCGTCTATCGATAAAGTTCTCGTGTAAAGGAACTTTGGACCTCCACACACATCGATTGGAACTCATGAATGACTTTCACTCAACTTCGAGAGTGACCTTGAGCTCAAGCGCATTGTCTTTTGCAATGAATGCGACGTTCGCCGATCAATTACTATCGCAGAGAGACAAGTGATGTGGGTCATGACTTCTTGAGAAGCCTGTCACCATGCAGATCTGGATGGGGCACGGTCGAGCATTAATGTGCTCATCTAGTTATCAATTCCATGCATGCATAATTAGTTGCAGACTTAAATAGTTTGATGTTCGAACGAATTATATGCATTTATTAGATATTGCGACCATATGTTTTTTTTTATTCTTCTTTTGGGCCAGCTCTTGATTTGGATGTGATTTGAAGGGAAGATAGGCATTATTTTTAGTAGATGAGTAACAAAAGTCGTGCACAAGCAAGCCTATGGAGATTGGTTCTTGATTTGGATGTGTCATAAATGGTTATATGTTGATATGTCGCTTTCATCCTGCTATAACTGAACTAGGGTGACGCACTTAAGAACAAAATGACGTGGATGAGGACGATGATTCTTTACTTCAAGTAATTAAATTCATGTTTTAGCAATAAAAAAACAGTAATAAAATTCATGTATGGTGACTATATAAAGTTATGAACAACTAAGGAACTACATCCATTGTTAGCTCCCTAACTACATGATCGATGTATAGAAATGACAAGGAAAAATTGTCCAAAAAATCTTAAACCTATTGGTATTTTGTCAATTCAGTTCTAAATCTTTTTATTTTGTCAATTGAATTCTAAATTTTTTTTTTGTTTTGCCAATTGAGTTCATCCGGCTAATTTTGGTGAGAAATCGCTTATGTGGACGATGGGCGTCTTTTGTGGCACAGCCAGTACTGATGTGAATAATTTTTAATAATATATATATTTTTTTTTTCTTTTTTCTCCTCTTCTCTGTTCATACGCACGCAGAGAAAAATCAAATCAACCATGGAAACCTCCACAGAATCCTCCAGGGCCTTCCAGTTTTTCGTAAAGCTTATCAATGGCAATACCTCCATCCTCAATTTCACCACCCCGCACGTCGAGGTCCTCTCCATCAAGCGTCGCATCTTCGAGATCTCTAGGATCCTCATCCCCTCCCTACGCCTCATCCTCTTCGCCCGCCAACTAGATGATTGCTTCATCGTCTCTTCACCAGG